CGTAGTAATACCGTGTCCTAAGGCTGGCGGCCTGTATATCCACCGCGTAAGGATAGGTCACAGGAGGGTTATCTAGGTCCACCGAAAACATGAAATTTGTATGAAGGTCGGGGACAGGGGGCGGATACATCGATTGATCACCGTACATTTCTTCAGCTGGGTTCGAGAATGCCCCTGGATTCTCTTCCTCCCAGCGCAGATATACTGGCAGTAAGCCCCTCCATTGATCCAACTGTTCAGCCATTTGCTTCGTCATCACGGCTGCTGGGGATATTGGCGTTTCGGGAGGAAGATTCGTAGGGCCGAAAACTTTACTAAGTTAGCCCCTATCTCTAAGGCAGGGGAAGGGAATATCGAAAAGCCTCGATATCTATCGTAGATCCCCTGACAATAAGACTTAAGGACTAAAAATACACCTACCATTACTCAGCGTAGTATGAAACTCCACGGATAGCCGCCGAAGTACTATTTGCGAAGCGAAATGTTCCTGAAAGTGGGAAGCTTGGTTCCCGATATAATCTTCTTCAGAGAATGAGCCGCTGAAGTCAGGTAATCCTACTAGTGATTCTAGCTTATCCAACCCAGTCCGGGGAATATTTAGCTCCATATTCAGACACCTGTATTCATTCAGTCTAGAACACCGACATAAATCAAGGTAAGTCAACAACATACGTCTCCATTATGGAGCAATGCCAAAACGTTCTTCGGACCAAATCTCCTCGGTGGGTTGTCAGTACATCCGGGTTACTGAGTACCACGTTAATACGGCTCTAATGTGCTTATTTCCCGGTGCATACCTCGTCAACAACGCCTGGCACGCCAGTGATGCCGAGGTCGTCATACGCCAAAACTCCTAAGCCAATTAGCGGGAATAATAATTCACCCGGTACGGTCCTAGTTACCAGATGATGACAACATGTCCCATAATATATGCTAGACATTGAAAATCGTAAGTAGATAGCCAAGTCGTATAGATACCAGCTAGGGGTATACTTACGCCGCCAATGCATAGATTTGCACATTTTCTAGACTGCATTCGGTCAGATTGAACCCCATTCTCTTTCTAGCCTCGTTGAAAAACAGTAGTCCCGGCGGCCTTTCCATTGTACCTCCCCTAATACCACTAGGACGGCCTTTATGTGTCTAGTCATCAAATTAGCAACTTGTCATATATAGAAAGCGTCTCACTCTCGGGTATATCAGAAGTTACATAGCACCCTCGTGCGATGCAGGTAAATAAACGTAGGGGTGATAAAACTCCTAAAGCCGAACTTACCCCAAGCGGGGCGCCCTGCACGGCGCTGATAGCTACTTCACCAAGCGCGAATACTAGACATGTTAACGTCGAAGAGCTGCTCTCGTCGAAGCCGTGGCTCGCCATAGCCGGTAACACTTCAGACAAAAAGACTTGCCGGTCCATGATCGGATATATCAAGTTAAATGTGTCGAAATACGATTTAGTAAGTCTTTGCATTGTTTCCCAGTTTATACTCAGCCCACTCGCCTGCAGCCCTTCAACCTGACTAGGAGAAGGAACTTGTAGTGACAGAGATGTTCCCTCGGCACCTAGATGGGGTGATCCATAATTGTTGGTTGGCAGAGACGCGATTCGACCTTGTAAACCCAACAACATAGCAGCTCCGTCCTTCTCTAAGCTCGTTAAGTCGAGGCTCGGAACCTTATTCTCAAGGACCTGCTGTACAAAAGGCCAGGAGAGCATCCTGTGAGTGGCAGAGACATATTGCACATCTCGGGACGAGGCCGGGGAAATTGCTGCGGGCTGAAGGTGAACGTTTGTAGGAGGCCACGGGCTGGGATGACCAGGGTCTAGAGACGCAGGGGGGTTCTGTATTGGGCCATAAATAGATAGGGGGAGGGTACCTCGAGCATTGAGGCTATCGACCTTCCCGTCAAGATTTCTCAACCCTCCCTCGAGGCTCTTTAGTCGCTCTAATATCTCAACGAGGGTCTTGTCTTTTCTGTAGCTACCTAGTTAGTTATATCCGATACGTAACCGTGCAACGCAATACAGTTCAGGATTCCGTCGAATCCATCCGACGATGGTATAAGTTACACTCGGACATTACGTACTTGGTCGGTTGAGGCTCTCGGTATTTGCATTCCAGCTGATGGAGTTAGTAGAAGACAGGTACAAGCGAGACGAACCACCCTTACATTCATTCGCTATTCCACATTTCGGTGTTAGTTGGTAAGCCTATGTCGCGTTTTAAGGAGCCACTAGAAGTGTAATTAAGAAACAAAAACTGTGCGACTTCGATGTCGCTCTCCTGGGATAGCTCCCTAGACAGGACCAAACAGATAAGGAGGACTCGGGTTACTAACCTGACAGGTAGCGCACTTTGGTCTCTCTTCACTGCATCTTTGTTTACGCTGTCTGCAAGACTCGCAGGCCTGGGCAGATGGTCAATAACTGGCTGAGAAGAGGAAGATGAGATAGATACCTGAGCAGCTATGGCACCCCGTTCCTTTCGACTGTTGGTGGGCGTCGCTGGACCGGCAGAGCTCGAGTTATTCGAGGTACTCTCTGGATTCATCCTCTACGAACAAAAAGCGAGCCGGGGGGTAGGTAGGTGAAAATCGGGTGAATGGCCTCTGGTTCGAGGTCGATCGAGAAAGCTTCCTATCGACCGAGCACATGACAGATAATACGATTTTAGTGCTACGGTTGTGCCTGGACACGATCATTCCTAAAAAGAAGCGCGAATCCGAAAGGATGAGTTGGTGCAGATCAGGTGTGGTATACTTGCCGCCTAGGGATTGAAGGGACGGTCGCCGGGCCGGACCGCAACGCGTACTCGGCGGGAGTATGCACTCGGATATCTAGGAACCCCAGACAGACCAGGATTGTGGCGACAGTCCGGTCTGGATCATAAGTCCTGCCCTACCGAAGAGTGTTATGCAATAGGGGATCTTCGGGATAGCACGAGAGCAAAAGCTAATTGAGGTTTGTATTTTTTTTGGAGACTTTTAGGCTAAGGCAAGCAAAAACAGATTGTTTTGAATGACTGTGGAGGGCAGTTCTCACGGAGGAAATGCCCGACTCCGCTGGCCGGCCTCACCAAAGAAGGGGAATACAGGGCTCTTAGTTTTTTTTTTCTCAAACGGGCGCTCGTGATTGAGAGGATACCTTCTTCTACCTGTCGGATATAGTACCAATTTATAGCATGGTTAGCCTGGTGAAGCCTATGTTCCCAGACCGCCACATACTGGATAGCTTGGGTCTTTGGAGTAGTGTGGTGATTTTATGGTGGTTGATGCCACGATAGACGGGGAAACAATTGAGTGTGGCTGGACTTGCGAAGGGAACCCCATGAACACACCCAAGTAAAGTGGACAAAACTCTAGGGGCTGAAGAAGGCTACAAGCCAGCTATGGATATCAATGCTTCAACCCGCTTAGCCATTGCGAATATGTAACCTACCTACCTCACTCGTCAACCTACCACGTGTGCACTCTAATATGGGAATAAACGTAGGAACCGCACTTTGCGCTCGCAACTTGCTAGAATCGCCAGTAGCGGTTCAGCACCGCGTCCATCAAGTTCGTGGCTTCGTATGAGCCCGGCTTTGGGTATAAAACCTCTTGTGGTTGCTTCAGATGTGACAGCTATAACAGCTGGTTTTCAAGCTCATAGGAGTTGAATTGGATAACAGCACCCAGTTAGAAGCCATCGTGAAGGACATCAAAAAGGGTTAAGTGTTGACGGTAGATGCCAGGCTTGGCTACCCGTAAAAAAGGAGCTAAGCTCGACGTCATGCCGCATCTTGCCGGTGATTTATAAGATATCAGATGGGTACGGCATAAACGGAAGCCCCCTGATGCCTGTCAAACCTGCGCTCGAAGGACGGTCAGCCCCAGCTAGCTTGAGCTAGCTGGCCGGGTAGATCTGTGACTGAGAGTCTGATTGGGGCTGCGTATGTAAGGAGGTCACAAGTAAAAATAAAGATACGGCACATATGTGGTATGCAGCGCGCAGTGCGCAGTGCGCAGCGCAGCTGTGGGGTGGATACCAAAATGAGAGAGAAGTTCAATCAAAATATAGATTAATAAGAAGGGAAAAAAAAGGGAAAAAAGAGAAAAAATATTTTGAGAGATCATGATAGGATTGGAATAGAGAAATCTAGCGAAACAGAAAAGGGAAAGAGACAATTACCCATAATTCCACAATGGTTCCCCAATTGATGTTGAGAGAGTTTACCAACAAATCACATGCTGACGTACATACATAAACATGCTAAGTGAAACAAAAATATAGTACCTAAAGTACCTAGAACCGGGCTAGCTTAATGGGTACCTAGGTAGGTATAGCTTAGCAGGATTGAAATGTTGGGGTATGTGTTCTGCGCTAACGATTCCGAGCACACGTACCTGGAACTAGGTACTGGAATATGTAACGGAAAGATGTGGGGGGGGGGGGGGTAAGATGGGGTAAGCAAATGGTAGGTACTCCACCAAGAAAACGGAAAGCAAGTTCGGTAATCTATCCGATCGAACGTCCGGTTTTTATTATAGCCATTATGAACTTCGCTCATCTTAACCATCTAATATCTTTTATATTTCGCTGCGAGCAACCTGAACGCAATATAGGAGATCTCGGAGGCGATTTATGACATAGGAATTACGTGGTCCTGACGAAGGCCGCTAGATCGGCCTGGACCCCCTGGATTTATCTATCACTATACATATTCGAAATGTGCCTTGCCGGCCAAGTCCTATGCAACCGAGCCCTTAGCTGGAGCTCCCCTTGGAGAGTTCATTGGAGAATGCGGACCTCGAGTAACATATGACCTATCGATGATCTTACCCCTTTTCAGCAATTCTTTCTTGAGCCGCAGCCGAGTCCCGGCGACGACATTCCGACTACACGCCTATTCCACTCAGGAGTTAGACCGCTTATCCCACGTGTCCTGCTTCCCAACTTGAGGCCTTTAGACGATCAATTGGATGAGCGGCGTAGCCCTTCCTTCCTTTTAGCCCATGATTGATGGTTTGCAAATTATAGCACTCTTCTTACTAGTCTCATGCCCCTTTGTGGCAACTACTAAGTTCCAGCTCTAGCATACTTCGATATTCTCCTAGTTGGTTACGCTCATAGATAAGGCATAGTCACTAGCATAAATGAGTCAATTCAGGATTTAACTAGGTTGCCTACCTAGGTAACCTATCCAGTCTAAAGAGGACTAGTATAGCTCAGACTGATTCAGCCCTGACTGGACCGACACCACGGCAACTGAGCTTACTAACACAATGAGAGAGACTCAAGCCTCTAACACTCACGGGCTCTGGTTTAAAACTGTGCATAAAATGCAAACCTTGAAGACTTCGTGACACTCCTCTACCCTCAGGTATTTAAGCCTTCCGAGACAGAGCGATACAGCTAAATCGTAAATCCGCACCTCCGGCCTGCTGTTCAAGGCGTATAACCCTTCCAAACCCCAAATCAAGCGCCTTCGGGCTAAGAACATCCTCGTCGTCTGCAAGCGCGCCCCTGTCTATCGGACCCTTCCTCGACCCTTCCAGTTCCCAGAGCCTACCACCAACTTTAACAAACGCCACGAAATGCTGTCCTAGATGCTCTTCGTTCTGGGCAACCGTATCTCCCAGCTGGACGCACGATTTGTGCGCTTTTTCGAAAGGGATACTGTTATAAAGTAAGTCGGCCCGCTCCTTCATTCCTAAAGGGATGGCCTGGCGACGGATCTCGTCCAGATCAGATCCCGGTTGGATGTGCTCCGCAGTCGGGCCGTTGATGGCGCAGTGCAGGAACCCGATGGACCCGCAAGCGTTGCCGATGGTCTGCTTGAACCAGATTACGGGCTCCTCAGGTCCGCGGCCTTGATAGTCCTCCTTCTCAGCATCTTCGGCCTCACGTTCCGCCTTCCAAGCAGGAGTAAGGGGCAAAATGACTAATAAAGCCAAGGCGGGACGAGGGATATGGGCCAGGAGTTCAGGTTCGTCGAGCGACCAGACATCGTAGAATGATAATTCCTGGGACAGACCTAGCTTTGCGGCCAATTGGTTCATCACCTCGGGATTATTCTCTGCATACAACATTAGCGACATTGTCTCTAAGTAGTAAATGCGCTAAAGCGCCTAGTACCCAACATAACCCATTTCTTTCTCTCCATAATTGCAAGCCGGTGGTAGTTGATATACCGATATGATTGCCCCTACTTCAAAGCCCGGTATTCACTATCCGAACACTTGCGCAGTCGGTAGTTGGTTTATGGAAGGTATCTGAGGAATTTGTGTTTGTGAGATGTGGAAATGGTTGTGTCTTATTCTATCCACGGCAGGCAACAGGGACTACGTCACGTAATATGGAAATAGTGCGTATAAGAACTTGCATAGTACATATGTACCTACCTGCCTGCAATCTCCTATATCCATATTTGTTTACCCCACAGTTGGGTACAGGTACTTATAAGTAGACTCAACCTGAGCACGTGAGAGTGGTTACTTATGTACCTAGGTACATATACATATCTACCCTTATACACTTACCTATTTCTATCAAACTTCACGCATGCATTTTCCGTTCCAAGATGGGTCTTTACTCGTCTCTAATAGCAATCCTTTCCTATAAACGATCCTTTTAACCCATTCAAGAATGGCGAAGTAGAATTAGTCGGGATAGTCAACATCTATATTTCCGAAGCGGTCGAATTTAGTGTCAACCCCTTTTTTCTTTTTGGGTGTCTTGAGTGCAATATATATAGTCGTGATAGGCGGGCTCATACCCATCGAAGTAATATAGGGCTCCAATAGATAGCTGGTTAAATTCAAGTTCGAATATAATAACTCAGTACACCACTAGCAGCGTACCTTTCTCTCTAGCTCAAGATATATCTAATTTGGGGCTTGTAACTCGTTCTATTTCGGTAAAATACTCTTCACCGAACCCAAAGAGAGGCTTAGTTTCTCTCGTTGTGTCAAAATCTATCCCCAAGTCAACATGACAGTAGACCTAACGGAACTCGGAGAAAATGAAATTAATAGGTCCTTTCCAGCCTGCCCATTACCATAAAGGAAAGTTTGGTCTTCTCACTGGCTCAGAACGGCTAGTAAGCTGCCTTCATACTATAGATTCAATAAACATCTGCCGTGGTATGCTCCAGCAGAATCCAGGGGTTAGGTATGATGCATTAAGTCGATTTAATACTGCCGATATAGCATTAGTCGCGTTAGAGTCTTCTCCAACTAACCTCAATGTGTACGCTTCAGTATTTCTGGTATGTAGAGTCAAACTGAAGTCGATTGGATCTTACCATGGCGTCTTGCCACTTTGGCGTAAGCACAAAGGGGTTCATAAACTGTGCGAAATCGAACGTGTCCACAAGCAAATGGCTTGATCCGATTTTCAGGGCCAATTTAAGCATCCCATCACCATGCTGAGGCGAGGGCAAGGTCAAACTTTTTGAAATGGAGTCAACCCGAAGAAAATCCATCACAAGATCTGTAGTGATACATGTAGCGTCTTCGGTAGTCCTGGGTGGACTTGAAACTAAAGATTCGAGGGCATACCGCCCATACTCAACTGATCCTAGACATAGCTCAGATTAAACAGGTCTAACGACGAGCCTGACACGTCTTCAGCCCGTTGTGGTTAAAGAAAAATGGCTAGGTCCTCAAAATCGGCGCAGCGGAGGATGCCCCTATCCAACCCTACGAAAACGATGCGACACGAAGGACAATAACTGCGAAGGACTCTAAACAGCAAAACTATATTCGAAATTGCTCCCACACTCTATTATTTTGGCTGTGAAAGCTATAAGACTTGGTCATATTGAGCTGTAACTATCACAGAAAGGTGCGTCGTCTGCTCTAGCCGCAAGGACATCTAGAGCTTCTTTAAGATCTATCAATATTTTAGCTTTTCCTTTTAAACTAACTTTTCTAATCAAAACTTGATACTGACGAAAATCGAGATAGTGTATACTTGCTTGATTACGACCTGCCAGTTATGGAATCGGTTAAGCTAACCTTCAAAATCCACGTGTTCCCCTTGATGAAAGAAAGGTACGCGGAATAAATAGAACGTTGTAATTTACGTTAGTTAGAATCCCATATGGAACCCCACACGTAGCTTTAGCTTCTAGTACAACATGTTCCCAATGGTCTCCTAAAGAAAAACACATATCGTCGCTAGGAGCAAGTCATGGGTCGTATAACCAAATTATCTTGGCTAATATCAAGTTTAACTCTATGCTAGCCAATACCAAGTACTAACGCTCGGGAGTGAGGTCCTAAGGGTTAGAGAAGTATTTCTTATAATATACGGTAATCAAGGAATCACGTCAATTTTAGTCTACAAATATAGAATAGTTTGTTAAGATCCTAGGTGCGATATCTAGAACAAATGATATTTTTAGTAAGTTAATAGGTACCTTGGGTCAGGTAGGTAGTGATGCCAATATCCCCGGTTTTTTAGCTTCGATATAATAGTCGAGGATTTATACTTGATTACCATATAGCTCGGAGCTACCCCTATTAATTTCAGTTAAACCCTACAACGATAACATAAACCAGGCACATGGTTTCCTCTACCTACCAACATTTACGATCACTGGTCTTTACTACTTAAAACTAAGATTATACTACTTATTTGAGCGAATCTTTCAGAAGCTTCGTAGCTAGCGCGTAAGCCTGCTCACGTTGGGTCCATTCTATGGTCCCTTTTTCACAGCCCTTATCAAAAGCATGAGGCACGCCTTCAAAAACCTCCTTGATGACCTTCTTCTTGGTGCCAATTGACGAGGATTGATAGAGGTTTTGACGGCAGTGAAGAGTTAGAATATCCCGCGGGAAGGTAGAGGTGTGCAGAGATGTATCGCCCAGACTCGCGAGACGGGATCCTAATATTTTCCTTAGGAACCTCTGGTGGAATTATATCTCTATCGCGCTGCTGCTTTTCCTTTGAACTGAATGCGACCCACGCCCTCAGAAGTGTGACGATGAGTTTAAGGCGAAGGTAGTGTAAGAAACCGTAACGTTGAGCCATACTTTAAGTTGAATGATGAATGAGTTCCGTGATGTTTAAGATGATTCAAATACCTATTGTTCACTAAAAAGCAGTATTCATAACTTGAAGTTATAGCAATATCGGATTCCATAATGTCTATCTAGACCCTACATGTAGGTACAAAATAGCTAAGACAAAGACTGCACACAACTACTCCTCCACTGTAAGAGACGCTTCTCCAACTTAGATCATGTCGCCGCGAGTGCCTTTCACACTGCCCCAGAGCTCATCTACTGATAAGAGTATTGTCTCAGGCAACGGCCCCTTACGAATAAGATGGACGGTTTTGATGATTTGTGTGACCTTGCTGGCGCCTAGGACGATCCCATCACCATCTCCCAGGCCAGAGTGATACATGAGCCAGCGGCTAAAGGCCTAATATGCTCCATCAGTCATTCGAAATAGAGATATCAGAATGAGACATGCATACTGGAAACCATTGAATACGATGCCATGAGCACGTAGGAGGGGCAGTAGCTTCGTTTCCATACCGCGCGTTACCAAGTTATAAACTCCCTGATAACAGCTCGGCTTTTGCAAACCATTCTGCTTGACTTCATGTTGCCTTTGCTGGGAATATACATTATCGGCTTGTAAACGCTTCAGGCTCCCATCGACGGACTTTTTAATAGCCTCAACAGTTAGATCTCCGTTCCCATCTGTTGCGGTGTCGGTATAAATCTTAGTATCAACAAGAAATCTGCTGCTGAGTTCTTTTGCTTCGCCTATCAACTCTTCCGACCGGCCTGGATTCAGCGGAGGATACCGAGCCCCCGAATCTAGCCGGGTAATGCCAAGTTCCTCGAGTGTTCGAAGCAATACCTTGACTGTTTCCGAATCTTGAAATTCCGTCATAGGCATCCCGACCGATGCCACTACCCTGGAACCAGCAGTCAGCAAAGGCGTATTGGAATCGACACCTATCATGGCCCAGATCAATTTCATTCCTAGTGGTTGTCTGCTCGCAATATGTTTGAATTATGGAATTCTAGATGGCACGGCGCAATCGAGTCTTATTTCAGCCTGGGCCCAACATTGTAATAACCAACAAGGCAATCAAGGAAGTCTCAGTACATCAAAGGAACACCCTACACCATACATATCTAAGCAGTCTAGTGAGGATCATATCACTGCTCTATGTCTCCCAGATGCATTGAAGGATGATGCGGTCCCCGTCACTCGAGAAGAAGAAGAAATGACCAAACAAGATGGCGTGCTATGGCAGCTTCTTGGCCTTCGAAAAGAGGCCACAGGCCCGCTAGTAAAACCGACACCTCAAGACAGAGTGACAGCTATCTTCACGGCCCCAAGGACATCGATTGCTCATTTAAGGGAATTGACGCAAGATATAAAAGCAGACAGCCCGGAGTCTTGCGTATCCTTGTTCGACGCAGAGGCAGCTCTACTTTGACGATGCATCATGCGAGCAAGATACGACGATCTTTTGCCCACGGCTGGGAAAATATCCCGCCTTCGTGTGCCAGTAAACTTGCGCAAGGTGTTAGAAGTTCCCGACAGCTTCCCCGGTAATGTTTTCCTGAATAGCGTCACCGAAGTGCCTCTGATATTCCTAGTGGAACAGAATGATAGCCGATGCATCGCACCCAGAATCCGATCATCAATCAAGCTGTCTCGAATACTTCCTGATCCTAGCTCGCGCCGACCACTTTTCTCCAATACAACGGTGAAAGATCTTGTTCTTACCTCATGGCGAGATATGGCACTCTACCAAACTGATTGGGGCTTGCTGTTTGGTGCTACGGGTAGGCAGGAAGTTCTTCGGGAAAGTGTCTCTTCAATACCTCCTGCACTATTGGTACGTGGTGACGCAGTCTAGGTGTCAGTCTTCTCTGAATGGTGCGAGTATGCAAGTTCCCTTCGGTGAGAATGGCAGTAGTAGAGTATAGACCTTCAAAGTTCTATGTAGCTCACATTAGTATAACCACACGATTAACTGAATGCCGGGTTCATTACATCGATATTCGCCTGGATTGAACTTAACTCTTCATCGGGCATACTCCTTAGCTCAGTAATATATTTGCTAGGGAGAACGAGAATATCATGTCCTGATAGTTTGAAGATCTTGCCCTTGTACTGTTTTCTATAAGTAGGTACCTTGGTATATATCTATTTCATTGTATGGGCTGGGAACTTTGCCTACCTCCTTATATCCTTCATTTAGGAGTGTGGACGCATTTCGAAAGAACCGCCATCTGGCTCTAATCGTGTCTTCGGGGCCTATGATAGGTGCTTTAAACATCTCATTTCCTGCTCTATTAAGCACAGTGTACCATATAAAGCAGACTATAATAGCTGCGATTATGGTAGAAAGGGGGAAAGGGGGAGGAGCAGGAAGATAGCGCAGCGTTCTTCCATGAATAGTAGCCATATTATTTGCATCCATGGCGTATTTGGGAGATCAATATAAAATTCGTCTATAAGATACACGGGGAGATTCTTTCAATGTGCTTATGGGTTTTGTTTCTTCATAGACCTCTATATCCTACGCAGCACGTACCTCGTCCCACTCCAGAACTTTGGAAATATCAGGTAAGTAACTGGTACGGCTCAGGTACTTGGTCCACGAAGCGGCTATCAGTTTAAATACAATTTAAATCCAGGCGGCATTGCATCTACCTTGGTTGTGGTCGTCTTATGTCTTATGCGTTTATGTGCAGATCGTCACCTCCAAAAAAAGAAAAGGGGGGGGGGGGACCAACAGTTGTCCTACACACCAATGCAAGTAATCCTACCGGACTATAGTACCAGAGGTTACATCCATAAATTCAATGCATAGTTTCCTACACGAGGCATATATTCCTGTCATAATTCCAAGAAAGCAATACTCATGACGCGGCCTGCTTCCGATTGAAACTCTTTCTACCTATAGCTATATGTACCTGTTAGACAAATTGCAAACCTGGGACGTCTATTCTACACTCCACGTGGGATTCGAGATACTAGTTCCGACGCTCCTTGATTTGCTTGCTAAGGAGGGTATGGATTTCAAATTCCCTGGATTTGAGCCTTTGATGGACATGAACGCTCGGAAGCTGTCTACATTCCCGGAGGAAGTTTTGCATTCAACACACCAGACGACACTGCTTCATTCTTTGGAAGGTTTCGTCGATAAGATCGACTTTGATAGGATATCCCATCACCTTCTCCATGGAGCGATGATGGCTTCCCCATCGTCGACTGCAGCGTATCTCATGAACGCCTCGGAGTGGAGCGAGGACGCGGAGGCTTATTTACGCTTCGTTGTAGATGCAAGCAATGGTGGAGTTCCATCTGCATTTCCCATCACAATATTTGAAATTACTTGGGTAAAGTCAATCAGCTACCAAGTTCAAGCTAGCTTCTTACTAAAAGTCCTTCAGGTTCTTTCAACACTTCTAGAATCGGGGTTCACCATCCAAGATCTCGGAGTAGATAGCGTTTACTACATTACGAATTTCCTAGAAACTCAACTACGCAATGGATCAGGAATCACTGGATTTGGTATGATACTTTGAATAATGGCATGGCAGTTTCAGGATTGGACTAATACACAATAAAGCTCCAGATATTCTGCCAGATACAGATGATACAGCGAAGGCAATATTGACCCTGAGCCTCTTGAAACGGCCAGCATCATGCGAAGATATGATCAAGACCTTCGAGTCCCAAACACATTTCAAGACGTATAGTTACGAATCCACAGCGTCTTTTAGCGCCAACTGCAACGTCCTTAACGCCATCATTCGATCTACGAACCCGTCTCTTCATCTTCCACAGGTTAACAAATCACTTAACTTTCTCTGCCAAACATGGTACGAGGGGAAGCTCTCTGACAAATGGGTAAGTGATCTTACCTGAAGTGTACCTAGTTATTCACTAATTACTGACGATTAGATATAGAACCTGGAACTTCAAAAACCACATTGCTGGGCTTTCTACGGACTTAATCTCACAGCGTGTCCCACTCATAACCTTGCAGATGTTCACACGCACTGCTAATAACCAGTCACCCAATGGGTCTTGGAAAGATTCACCGGAAATTACTGCATACGCGGTATTGACTTTGAAGAAACTTGCCCCCTTGCCATGGATTGCTAGGATACTCGATACAAGGACGCGTGAGAGTATTGATTGCGGCATTAACTACTTAGAGGCAAACGAAGCGAGATGGGACACGCCTGAATTTATCTGGGTGGAAAAGGTGACTTACGGCTCCAAACTCTTATCAGAGACCTATTGCCTGGCCGCGCTTCGGGCTTCTAGTTTTCACAACTGGACCGAGAAAGCTACCGGGCTTTTCCCAACACCAATGAATAAAATCAGTAGTTATACACACTTCTTTTCCAAGCTACCACTGTTTTCCCAAGAGCCGGTTTGGAGACTGCAGGCATCTATCGTCGAGGGATATATGTTCGCACCTATATTGCGCTCTACGCAGTCAGAACTCCAAGTCTTCCCAGGCAATGATGATGGAAGTGATAATTATTTCGATTATATCCCCATAACATGGACTTCGTGCAATAACGCGACAGATTTCACCCTATGGCCCGAAGCTCTCTATGAAATGATGATCATAGCCATGCTAAATTTCCAAGCTGATAAGTATCTCGAGGATGTTTCCGACAATGACAAATTAAGGGGAAATTTTGAATCTCTAAAGACTGTTGTTCATCAGCTATACAAAAATGCCCCTAAGAAAACAACAGATACTCATGAGGGCAATCACAAGAACCATGCAGTCAGCGGCAACAAGAGACGTAAACTCGACTCAAGTGAGGGCGACGAAAATCCGGAGTCTCAAGACTTCGATAAGTCGTACCCTTTCGAGATCCTACAAGGCACAGAACATGTGCTCTCTCGCTTCACCACGTACATTCTAAGCCACAGGAAGGTTTCTAGCGCCAATAGCGTCCTACAACGTCGGGTGAGGGAGGAATTGTTGACCTTCATTCTGGCACATATCGCCCATAGCAAGCACAGCTCCCAGCTATCAACGACCCGCCCGCAAGACGAGATCCAAATCTTCACCCAGGCCCAGACGTCTTATTATAGTTGGGTGCATACTACCTCGGCAGACACAACCAGCTGTCCGTACTCATTCGAGTTTTTCAGATGCCTCATCGCTCCGGGGAACTAGCTGAGAAGTCCGGCAATGGATTTCCCCAGTTCCAGTCGCAACAACAACAAGGAGCACATCTCGAGGAGGCTCTCCGAAAGCTATTCGACATCGCTACCTACGAACGAGAATGTCTTGAACATGCAGTAGACAGACTCCGGGGGGGGAGATAAAGCCGCAAACCCTAAAGAAACTGGAGCTTTTCGTCAAGGTCACTGACCTTCACGGACAGATTTATGCAGTGAGGGATATCAACAACAACAATACCGAAGCCAAACGAATTAGCAGACAATGTTGATACACTTGTCAGCGCTGCGCATTAATTAAGAATCGATCTGAGATACTTCCAGACTAGTATATCTCTCACCCAGTTCCAAGTGTTTTCAAACGCCCGTTAAAATCTTCGCCTTTTCTAGTAATTTTGAAGCCCTTTATAATGTTTTCATTGGCTCGGAGATATTCCTTAATGAATACGCAGCGCCCGAAAGGCGCGACAACCTAATAGACAGCGCTAATCATTCCGTTTACTTTTTTGCATATAGTCAAATCTCTCGTGAGATGAATAATTTAAGAGGCCTGTGTGATAACATGGCCTCGTGAGTCTTGAGTGGTGTGATTTGCTGTATAATACAGGGTAGATAAACTGTTTCTGACACCGCAAAAATGACTACCTAGCTACAATCAATGGAATTTATTGCTTTAGTTTATAAACGATACGCGCTTAAAACCTAGTAATACACTAGGTTAACCTAATGCCTTGTAATAAAAATAGATTTCAAAGGCAAGACTGAACTAGCAAATCTATTCGTTACTTGAGTTATTTGGTTATATTTATATAGCTAGTACCTATATATATATGCTGGGAGTTCAATGCTCGATTAATACATCTGCGCTTCTTTAAGCAACAAAAAACATGCGCACAATCCGTCACCTCTCAACAACAGGACAAAAGGTCGGTTATTTAAACCTTCTCCTCGATGGTGTTGTTTACTAGAGCGGCGTTGTCCTCCACGTGGTGCATTTCGGCAGCAAACGTGTGGCTTGGCTTCCATTTGCCAGAGTAACGGGGGCTGACTTCTTGCATGCACATATCAGCCTGCTCGAGGGACAAGCCCTTCAGCTCGGGAACGAGGAAATATGCAAACGTCAGGGATATGCAACAGAGCGAACCCCATAGGAAGAACACCTTAGCCCCAAGGTTGGCCTCGTCTTCACCGACAAGGTAGGGGGTAATGACGGCAATGATGGTGTTCCAGAACCAGTTGGAGGCTGTAGAGATACCAACACCACGGGATCGAATCGGTAGCGGGAAAACCTCACCAACGACGACCCAGGCGGTGGGACCCCATGTGGTAGCAAAAAAGGCAATGTTGATGCAGATGAAGGCAATCATGGCCTGGGCAGCAGCGTTGTTATGAGCCTCTTCTCTTCCTACGGTGACGCCAATGGCACCGACAATGAACTGAGCGATGATCATACCCGAGGCACCAGTGATCAGCAGAGCACGGCGACCAAACTTCTCGATAGTATAGAACGAGATAGGTGTCGATAAGACGTTAACAAGGGTCGTGACTAGGGAGATGAGGAAAGGGTTCGAAATAGTTCCGAGTTGCTTGAAAAATACCTGTTGTTTTTCATTAGCAAATAGGTTCAGTAAGATAAGAGAAATAGAAATGAATATAAATTTTTATTTTGAAATGTTTCCCATCGTCTTCTCCTCTTACCAGCAGAGAAAAGAGGAAAAGTCAAATTAAGTTTCCGCATTTAATACTTACATTTCCGAAATAGAAAACTGATGCGTGAGAACATTCTGTGTCAGCTTTACAATTCTAAAATCTTCATCGTTCCTTTTTTGAGCGATTGCACTTACTATTAAACGTTAGTCATTATATACCTTAAGAGGAAATAGGGGGTTGAAAGTAAAATGGGACATTTTAATGCATACCTGAAGTTAATACCAGTGAGCTGTTGCATCATCTGCAAACCAGTACCGAGGAGTGTTCGTCTGAGACTGCTGTTGCCCTGGGATAATGATCCCTTGAAGCAAGCAGTCCAGGAACCAATGTAGGAAGTCTGAGGGAGATTCTGCATCTCGAACTCATTGTTGGCCACAATTTCTGCCAGCTCGTCCTTAACGAAATCCGAGTCCAATGGCTGACCGCGGACGTAAGCAAGGGCCTTAGCAGCTTCCTCGATCTTGCCTTTCTTGACAAAATAACGAGGGGACTCGGGGAGTATGAAAAGACCGACGCCTAGAACGATGGCCCATAGAAACTGAATGCCAATAGGGATTCTGTACGAGCCCGAGTCAGGGCGGGATTGGGTGCCGTAAACCACACAATTGGCCAGAAGGATACCGATAGTAATGCAGAACTGGTATCCCGAGACCATAGCACCACGAACCTTCTTAGGCGCAATCTCGGACATATACAGGATGACAACAGCGGAGATAAAACCGACACCAGCACCTGCAATTAGACGACCGAATACGAAAAGAACCTCCTGGTCGGTGCTCGCGATCTGTAAAATACAGCCAACGATGAAAACGAAGCATCCTGAAATGATGGTAGGACGTCGGCCAACGAAATCGGCGATATCACCACCTACAAGAGCGCCGAAGAAGGTACCGCAAGACAGGATCGATGTGAAGAGAGATTGTGTTGCTGACGGTAGGGTGAAGTCGCCCTTGGCAATGCCGATGGGAGCACCGATCGTGCCATCAGCGTTGACGGCGTTATAATCGTAGGGGACTCCGGTGTATAGACTGATGAAATACGGCATGGCTAACACGCCACTCATCCAACCTAGAGACATACATGATCAATAACTAGAAAGGCTTACTACGGCCTCGAGACTTCGAGCTTACCGGTATCATAGCCAAAGAAGATACCACCGAAGGCGGCGAAGGCGCAAATAAGGTATGCCTTGAATGTAACGGGGGCCTCGACGCGACCCACGTCGGCGGTGCCTGTAATAACAACACCGCCGGCCATCTTTTCGTTGTCCTGTCTTTCTCCCGTTGTGTAGTAAAGAGTCGAGCTGTCACGATTCAAGGCTTGCGTCACTATATGAAGTGATAGCGGGGGACGGCGCGTCTGTGACGGGGTAGCAAAGGAAAGGGAGCACAGAGACGGTAGGATTGGGGGGCATTTGCCAGATATTATATATACCCAGGTATGTACGGATCCGTACCGACTAATAGGATATTGGCGGAAAACAAGCTACAAACGGTATGCTACGAGATAAAGACACCGCCCCTTGCTGATTCTACCATGTTTGCGGTGGGACCATCATCCTAGTCTGGGGGAAACGTGGTACCTAGGCGAAGAGGTATTCAGAAGGCTTTGTCGAGGTGTAAAGGATGCTGTCGCCGGGCGTAGTAAACTGTTACACGCCATCACTTGGTCTCCTTTCAGCGTTACCATGCTTTGGGGTGGAATATTGGTGAGTACGCTCGGGGTCTCCTTGTCGGGTCTAGACTAGAAGGGGCCCGCCGCCCGAATCAGTTGCTGTTGATGAGCCAGCGCTGATTGGGTTGCTGCAGTATTGCGGCCCAGGATATTGGCTTATAGACAGGGATGTAAAGGGCCGTCTCGAGCCTGGAGGGTAGTCGACTAATACTGCTTGGTTTCGCCGACTTGCAGCTGGATCTGACCCACAAAGCAACAAAGATCCCTCGTCCTAGTAGAATCTCCAAACTGGAGATTTGGGGAAGATGGGGAGTATGGAGAAAAAGACAGGATGTTAGTGCCAAACCCTTCGCGGGTCTAGTTGACAGCAAACAAGCAAACAAACAAATAACAGAATATACAAAGCAGCTAACCTAGCTAGGATACTACTCCTAGTCTTCTAGTCTCCTAATAAGTCGGTATCAATGTTGTCTGTCATACTCTCTAGGGTGACATAGTATTATATCCAATAACTACGGGAAATGGATGTATGACACTTGAGTACCTTAATTCATGTATGTAGGTAAATACATGCTCATCTATCACTTGATGGAGTATCGCAATTCAAGATCTACAGACTACAGTAGATCTCTGATATTGTCGGGGTGCATTCTATACGGATGTGCATATATATAGCAATATCCTTTTGATCCCGATAACCAGCGTGGATAACAGGATCGTCACTAGGACTATTTCTTTTTTTTTCGCAGGATAAGGTACTCGAGATTTCCTCATGCAAGTCGCAAATATCCTCAATCTCTGATATTAGTGTAATTAGGGAGAATGTGCAAGAGCAGGGGTCGACCGGCCAATTACTGAATTGGTACTTTCGTACTTTATGGGCTGGTTGGCTCGGTTGGATGTTCAGACGCGTTGAATAGCAAAAAACGCCCGGCGGCTGAGCGTGAAAGGTGTGGGACGGATGAAACGATTAGAAGGTAGAGGGATTAGATTACTTTCCTTTGTCGTTCGTTTTGAGAAGCTCGTAGTCCATAATTTGCTTGCTCGCGTGGTGACCTGGAGAAACGGGTTAGATCTCGTAACCGGTTAGCCTCGTATCCCAAATTCCTTTGGCGTCCCCGGATTCTAGTTAGCGACTTAAAATGGGGGATTAAAGAAGCCTCGTTCTCGGTGGTAATTGATCCATGAACGCGACGTTACATGCCCTCGATTAGAATACGTACCGAATCGCTACCAACTTGTAGCTAGATATGTAGGTATTTTATTATACCTGTCCCCAGGATCAGCCTACCAAGGAAGAACGAGGATAGCATGATATATTCCTCCAATACTAGGATCTTTTACTCCCCTTAATATTAAATAACGTGTGCCGTGTTGATACAAGTTTGCAATTGGTGTGTTAAGTGCCTAGATGAGCTAAAGGGCGAGATTAATTGACCGGCTTGGGCTAAAGTCGGCGCTGTGTGACAGACGGAAGTAAAGCTAACAAACAATGGTTTCTTAATGTTGGTATGATGCTATTGTTATTATAACTTGTTGGCTCGCATTTTCGGACTAGTAAGCAGAAAGACGTGATGGCTGTCCCAGTTACTTAATCTACCATTGGATCATCCATTGGCACGAGGTAGTATGATCAACCGGACGATATAGCCTCGCCTATCTCGCCTTAATAGATCTCTACTGAAAATCGTGGGAGATCAGTTAGATCGGAAGAAAAGGGGAATGGTTTTTAATGGGTCACTTTCGTATGGGTGAGATGGGAA